TGATACACCAACAGTGGTTTCAGCACACCACAATGCAGATGGGAATTATCAGCACATTATATCTGATTTAAGGTCACTGGCAGCACATTTAAAATGAATGGGCTAACTCAACGGACTGCACATGTGTGAAGTATGCCTTAATAGAAGAGGCATGTAGCTTCCTAATCAGTATGCCATCTCCTCCACAGAACGGGTTGTTTTTTTTATAAACTACATTGGGGTTATGTTCTATAGATCAGCTCAGATACAGATCTTGCTTCTTAGAATATTTCTTTACATTTGTAAAAGCATTTATACAATATATCTTTTCTCCTCCATCAGACATAGTCTGCTTCATCCATCACCAGATGTGGTACACCCAACAGGATCCAAGCAACATAAAAAAAGCAAAAAGACAATGGGACATTTACACACAAGGTCTAAAATTTACTTGACTTTCTTCACTGACATGGGCAATGCTTATTTTAGGTTTGCTCTTCCAAGATATCGTGTATACAGTGAATGTGCAGTCAGTCCCCCAGGTTACTTTATTATGTACATAATAAAATAGGCATTCTGGAAAACAACCCCTATTATTTTCATTCTACAAAATTAGAGTTGTCCTTGAAGCAGCAACAGATCGGAGTGAGAAGTGAATATTCATAATCTGTTAGAGACAGCTGGCACAACAAATTAGGATAATCTTGGGTAATCCAACTGGAGTAGAAGTGGATATAATATAATAACCAGTTCATCACTCAAAGCAAAAAAACAAGTGTCCAAAGGAAAAATAAAACATTCAGTATAAATATTATGAGAGTTCAAAAGGAGATTCAAAATGTATCATATGAATTATTGCCTATTAGCAAAACCAACAATGGCCCTCTCTCTCTCTTAGATGTCCAGCTGCTGTGTTTGTTACAATGGTACTTAGAATTACAGTAACTTCATCTATATCAATAGTGTCTTTACATTGACATGCTCAGGACACACTCTTCTCTCAACTGAAGACTCTCAAAAGAAAAAAAAATTAAACAAGACTTAAACAATGTATAGTAGAACCTAACGAAAAATAAAAGGTATATGCATTAGTGATGTGAGGGGGGATTGGTGTGTACCAAGTTCACCCAAGCCCGCCCAATATTCACACCCCTCCTTCCTGGCCTAATCAGTTGTGGCAGGGGCTTTCCCCAGCCTCTTGTAACGTGTAGCTGCAGGGCAGGGAATGCCCTGGCCGCATCCGATTGGGCCGGGGGAGTTTCAGTGAAAGTTTTTTCGCAGACACTAACAAGTATCAGGAGCAATGCCACCAATGCTTACTAGTGAAGAGGGATTACACTGGGCAAGAATGTCTTTGTAATTGTCAACAAGAAGAGTAGTGCAGTGTTGTCATCCTGAAAACTAGGGCAGTGTTAAAGAATCGGATTCCCTCCCAACTCCAACCCATGGAGTTCTTATGCCTAATACTTGTCGTGTATCCTGGATGCACCAGGAAAGCATTGCACTTTTGCTAAAGCAGGGATAGACAAAAGCAGTATGGGATTCATAAGCCAGTCTGTCCAATCCAGGAACCAGCAGGATTTTGTAGGAGCCAGCTCTACTGACTACTAGAGAAAACCACACAAGTTAGGCACCAGCTGTAATATTTAAGGAGCATTGGCTTCCTGGCTGACCAGCCCTGTGCCAAGCAGAGATTAAATTAAATCCTATGTCCCTATAAAACTAGTAATATGGCAGCAAACAGTTGGCTGCAGGTAGTTTTTCATAGTTTGCCAACTTCGCCCTTTTCTGCAATTACCTACCACAGTAGCTGAAGATGCCCCGTTCACATATAGCGACATACCTTTTGCAGCGGATCCGCATGGCCGGGATAGCGCGACTTTCGGGGCGACGTTCCAGCGACGGTAGCGCGACCTTCCCCGTCGGGCTCCATAGAAAAAAAGCAAAATCCGCCGAAAAAAGGGTCCGGTAGAAGCGACTTGCGACCGCGACGCGCGACATGGAGTTAAGACAGCTCCATTGAATAACATTGGCCGGCGACTTCTCGCGATATCGCGCGGCAAAAATGCGCGATAACGCGGCGATAATTCGCTATATGTGAACGGGGCCTATAACACTACACCTCTCATGCTTCACTATTTGCCATTGAAGCTACCCACCTCAATAGTGGGACAATAGCTAGGCATGGTAGGTGGCAGGTAAGAACTCTGACTTCTGCAATCAAAATGCCAATCTCAGTTGCTGAACGTCTTGATGTTTCAGGCACCTAGAACACTTTGCTAGAGTAATGAAACTACCTGCAGGTTGCTCTAATTGTCCACTATCCAGGCATACTGCAGGTTTACTCATTTCAAAGTGATGACAGATTTAATTAAAAGTTTTATAGCTAACCCTAGCAGTTTAACCCTGCCCTAGAAGTTTTTACAAAACACTGGGTCGTTCTCATCTTGAGTATGCAGAATTGGTCACCAATCCACAAGAAAGATGTCCTTGAACTAGAGAGAGTACAGCAAAGGGCAAACAAATTAATACAGAGACTGGGGGACATCAGAAATAAGGACCGATTACAGAAACAGACATTTATCCACCCTAGAGAACAGGAACACAGATGTCTTCCTCAGTGAACACAACATACAGGGGTATGGGAGTTCTTAACTACTCAAAAATCACACGGGGTTGACACAAAATTGAATATTGGGTTTGAAATAAGTATAGTTCTGCAGGCATACTTATGAGTTATGTTTAATCCTTTAGTAAGCGTTACTTACTCCACCTTGTCCTAACACTTTGTGTCAGTGTTCCCCCAAAGGGATTCAGGCCAGCATTCAGGCCAGCTGTCTTTGTCCTGGCAAACACCCCCTGGAATGATCTCTGCAGAGCTTGCTCCCTCTCATGGTCTCTGGGCTCACCTGGCTCCTCTGCGAGTCTGGAACTTCTGCAGGAGGATTTGGGATATAGATCAGAAGAAGCCAGAGGAATGAATCTCAAAGCTTTCAGCTCTTAGCACTTCTGGTTCAGTTGTCAAATCCTGGCTATAAGTCCAGGTAAGCAGCATCAGGGGCTTCCCGAGGTCAGGTGTCACCGAGGATAGGTGTCACCGAGGATAGGTGTCACCGAGGATAGGTGTCACCCGGTCCCAATTTTTCTTTCTTGGCTTATCCTCATGTCAGCACAGGTTCCTTGCCTGGTGTCCTTCTGCTACCAAGTTATTAAACATTTGCTAAGGGTGGTCCTGTGAGGTCAACGGGGCGGAGGTGACCCGTGGTATGCTGACATGAGGAAATGGAAATTATGGTAAGTTTAAGACAAGTTTCCTTTCTTGGCTTATCCTCATGTCAACATAGGTTCCCTCCTCCTACTATTGAGTTATTTAACATGTACTAAGGAGTCTCTCTTTTTAGCGGGTTACAGGTGGTCCTGTGGAGTCAAGGGAAAGGAGATGATCCGTGGTATGCTAACATAAGGAAATTAAAATGACGGTAAATTTAAGACAAGTTTCCTTTCTTGGCTTATCCTCATGTCACCATAGGTTTCCTCCTTGGTGTCTTCCTGCTATCAAGTTATTGAACACTTGCTAGGGGTTGTCCTGTGGGGGTCAAAGGAACAGAGGTGACCCGTGGTATGTTGACATGAGGAAAGGAAAATTACAGTATGTTGCAGGCAACAATTTTCGTTTCTTGGCTTATCTTCATGCCAACATAGGTTCCATCCTTGGTGTCCTTCTACAATCGAGTAATTGAAAACTTACTAAGGGGTTTCTCTATTAGTGGGTTAGGGGTAGTCCTGTGGGGTCAAGGGGACAGAGTTGACCCGTGGTATGTTGACAAGAGAAATGGAAAATGACAGTACCTCACATTTCTGTAATCTCAACCTTGCATAATATTTAAAAAAAGACAATAAAAAAACAGTGTTAAACATATACTGAAAGAGACAAAGCTGATGGAAGGATTGTGATTGGGGGTGGTTAATATGTGACCAAATATCAAATGAGATCTCCTCCATGTTCTGTCTGTGTTACAGAGCACATGAGCCAGGCTTATGCAACCAGAGATCGAGGCTTTGCTGGTGCTCTCAGACATAAGACTCCATGGCTCTTGGAGGAATCAGAGTCAGTAAGACTACACAACTTTTCCTCCTCACTAGTAAACACTGGTCACGTTGCGAAGTACATATTGACTTTGGCGGCCATGTACTATTAGCACACGCACATAGAGCAGAGCCTGCGCAGGTTACAGTGAATGTGACAGGTGGTGTGTGGGTCTGCGCTCTCCCTCTCTTTCCCCCAGCCCCGGGACACCGCACATACACAGCCGAGCAGCGTGCCCGCCTTCCTGTTTTTACCTGTCCACAGCCGTCCAACTTCCCGGACACCTGGGCATCCACCACCGTTTCCACCTGGGACGACATTAATACGACGCAGTGTTGGAAGTGCCGCGGTATCGACACCAACGAAATCCCCTGCGCAGCGCTTAGCCCTACAACGCCGCTGACCAATCAGACGAAGGGCAACATTACACCGGGCTGCAGCCCACAGACACGTGACAGGCAGTGGCGCGTGGACCCAGCGCCTCTGCGGCCATCTTTGAAAAGGGAAAAGTACAACATTCGCATTGAATAAGATTATCTTGCATGTTCATAAACTCATAGGATCATTTCGCACATATAAGCCAATCATCAAACAACCCTTGCGTTTCTTATAAGCTTGTTATACACAACGAGAATAGGTTCAAAGTGCCTGAAAAAATGTAGTGTCTACAAAATCATGAGGGGTTAATTGTCAAAATAAGTTATTTTCACCGTAACCAGTGTGCACAGGGTACCCTAAAGAAACATTAGGGATTGTTTCTTTAGGGATTTAAACTAAGCTGTAAAGGAGCCTTAAAAACAGATCCGTTCTAACGAAGAGCATTTCCTATTGGTCTTCTAGAAAATGGCCACTAAACTCGACTATACTACGAACTACCGGAGACGGAAGTGAAAAAGAGCGAAACGTGAGGCGACCGAGACAAGACGTAAGGACGCACGACGACGCACTCACGTTGTGTACAGAACCGCTGTATAGAGTTATCGGAATGAGGAGAAGTGCTTTCCTGCTAAGATGAACGCGCCACCGGCCTTTGAATCGTTCCTGTTGTTTGAGGGTGAAAAGAAGTGAGTGTGTCTGCAGAGATTCTAGCTAGGGATCTGAGTGTAGACAACTGCTTCCTCTTACTGACATTCTCTGCTATACTGAATGGATATAGTGTCGTTCCAGGGCAACCTTACATTTTAAAGTGCATGTAAACCTAAAATCTATTTTTTTAGCATGTTTTTATATCATGTGAAGCTGTTAACGGTTTTTTTTTTTTTAAAAGCTGTGGTTCAAGCAAACAGCTAAATACACAGGTGATACAAAGTTAGATACAGGTTCTATTTTGCCTGCTAAATGATTTGGATTCCTGTCCATCCAGTCCTGTGATTTGCACAGCTCTGGCAAAGCCTGGAAAAATGACCTGATTTGTCTCTGCTGCAGTTTAGTTATACAGGTTCTGCCCCTTTCCCAGCCTGTGACTGGACAGAAAAAGGAGAAGCAGGAGACTGGTGAGCTCAGACCTCTACTCCTATCTGCCTATCCCTTGTGAGTACATAAGCACTGCTGCACAAGTGATTGGCTCATTGTGCTGCTTCTCCCTGTCTGAGCTCTGCTGTACAGGGAATGCAAGTGACTGATACGAAAACGCCACTAATCCATCGTTTTTCGTATGATTTGAAAAAAGTTTTCCAGCCTCACCCTCTGAGGAAATTCAGCCAGAAGTACAGTAATTGTCCCATCAACTGATCGATTATAGTTTGAAAGACCATTCGTGGACGCTTTCTGAACGAAAATGGATAGGTGTATGGCCACCTTTACAGATCTAAGCCGTAAATTCACAATTAGCAGTAGCCTAGTCAGCCAGCCATGGAAGCTCCTTCAGTGTGCTGTTGGGTTGTCTGTCAGGGTTAAAGGGTTATTAAACCCTCGCGTGTTTTAGCAAGCAGTAAATATATGCAAAAACATTTTTAAAAAAAACCTTTTAAAAAGGGTTTAAACTTCCCTGCGTCTTCGCTGTGCGCTCCCATCCGAACATCTGAAGAGTCTCGGGCGGCCGCAAAGGATCTTTGGGCGGCGCATGCGCAGTGCAGATGTTCGGCCGGGAGACGAGGCGAGACGCAAGGTAAGTATATGGAGCAGCGTGCACCCGCACAAGTATATGGAGCAGCGTGCACCCGCACAGACTATGTGGGATGTCAGAGAAGAGGAGGACAGAGGAGTCAGCGTTGCACCGGAGACCCGCACCAGCACGCGGGGGGGGGGCATCAGAAAAGGACAGTAAAAAAGATCATCGGATTAGGATGCATCATTTAACCCCTTTGTGACGGGAGACTTACACTGTACGCCCCATCACAAAGTGCCTATATGACTGGCCACGTACACTGTGACACGTGACGAGTTATTTAATGCTCTGTAATGCCGGTAACCGCTGATTCTCAGTGGTTGCCAGTAATTAATGAATGCCTTTAGTATTGAGGCATTCATTAATGACATAGTTCAAGGAGAATTATGAGGCGAGTGATTTTCACTCAGCCTCATAATCTGAGCCGACCTGTGACAATGAGACTGACACAGGTCGGCTCAGTAGATCCGGGAAGTGAGCGAACACATACCGTCACTTTCTCACTTCTCGATCTATCCGTGCAGAGAGCCGTGACTGTCACTCACGGCTCCCTGCAGGGATTCCCCCCCCCCCTGTCCGATCCTCCAGCGCTGACTGGTGAAACGGACGGGGCAGGGGGCGGGCAGAGCCAGCTGTCAGTCACGCAGCTGGGCGGATCCTGGCACAATTGTCGGGATCCGCTGCAGCGTCTCAGTATACTGAGCTTTGGGTCACGAGAGGACGCTAGTTTGTGTTCTCCCGTGACTCTTATGAGAACTATGGGGAAAAGCCCTAACCCCATAGTTATCCTCCTTTTTAAGCTTTTGTAAAAGCTTCTTTCTTTCATTAAAGTGACATTAAACCCTCAGATTTTTTGCCATAAACCAATAGTGTAATGTGTGCCTTACTGTAATCCATGGTTGTTTCCCTTCTCTTTGCTGCTCTTCCTTTTAAATCTGTATCTGTTCTCATGCTGGGGGAGAACTTCCCTTTGCAGCTGAGTGCCTCTTCCTGTAGTGCTGGCTCAGGTTGTGAACCTGCACACAGACACCATGTATCCATTCCTGAGACAAGGCAGTTTGCTGCAAAACAGAAGTTCTGCCCAGCATGAGAAGAGATACGGATTTAAAAGGAAGAGCAGCAAAGAGAAGGGGAAACAACCATAGATTACAGTAAGGCACACATTACAGTATTGGTTTATGTTAAAAAAATCTGAGGGTTTAATGTCACTTTAATGAAAGAATGAAGACGTTGCATACAAATACAGAGCGCTAAATAGCGATCCCGTATTTGACAGCTGAAGATAGCAGAGAGGTAGCAGAGTGACTCACCTCTCTGCTATTCGTTTTGACAGCTCACAAGCCCATGTTTATGATACATTTCAGGCACAGAGATACAAGAGATACAATGTATCTCTTTGCCTGAAATGTATCAGTTCTGATCCTCTAGTCATGATCAAAGAGCTTTAGTGAGATCTGAATCTGACATGCTGTCAGGATCAGTCTCTAAGGTTATTATTAGCTGTTCCTAAGTTTGGAGCAGCCTGATAACTAAAAATTAAAAAAGGTAATTTATCAAGCAGTCATAGTAACTGCTTGATATAAACTGACACAAAAAAAGAAGTTTTTTTTAAATCTTCTACTTTTTTTTAATTTTATTTATTTTTTAACATAAAATAAACAAAACTTGTGAAAAAAGTGTTTTTCTTCTAGTTTTTTTCCTTTTTTTTTTTTTAATATTTTATTCAAACTAAGTGAGGTGTTGGGTACACATGTTTTATATAATTATATAGCCATATCTGTCCTCTAAAAAACAATATATAATATGTGTGGGTACATTTAGTAAGAAAGTATATTACTGCCGTGGAAGAATCACACAGCAAAAATGTAAAAAGTGTGTCAGTCATTTATGAACAGAAACTGAAAACTAGCTCAGTCATGAAGGGGTTTAGTTCTTACAGCAGGATTGGGAAGGGGGGGAAAAAAGTTTGACTTTAATGTCAAACATTAAAGTCAAACTTTAATGTTTGACATTAAAGTTTTGGGCAGATAGTCAGCCCATTGGCCAACTAAAGTAGATTGCATGGCAGGCTGACAAAAACAGTGGCTTAGTGTTGTCACCCTGCTACAGGAAGCACTTACTGTCAGAATCTCCAGGTAAGAAACTTCTAAATAGTTTTACAAAAAATGATTGGCTTAAGAAAAACCAGTAAGACATGATGTCAAAGCATTTGAACAATAGATATGAGTTTACATACACCCCCCCCAAAAAAAGGGTATATTTTCTGAAAGCAGATACCCTGGGGAATAAAATATTGCAGTTGCAGTTTTTTATGTCATATGATGTTAGCACAGTAGTTTATCAAACCCAACTTTTCCTACACACCATCCAAGCGACCAGGCGGTTCTATAGCCGCCCAAACATTTGTATGTAAACAGTCATCGCCAGCTGTAACCCATTTTTACACTGTCCTGCTTGTGACTCATACTGCCGCATACTGATAGTGGGAATGTATGTATGTCTTTTCCTGTCTCCTGCACATTCCTGGTGCCAGGCGAGGTACTCATCATAGTGATGGGCCATTAGAGGTAGGTGTGTCTGTGTGTATGGGGGGGGGAGTGGAGTTGGCAAGCTTCTGATGGACCCAGAAATGCCAGAGCTTCAGTCTGATATGTTTAAATATGAAATATTTACATCTCATTTTTTTTTTTCTCTTCATAGAAAAAAAATCACCAAGGACACAAAGGTACCCAATGCTTGTTTGTTCACTATAAACAAGGAAGATCACACAATTGGAAATATCATTAAATCGTAAGTACATATATGTAGTAAGACTTAGAAAACATGAATAATGGCAGTAGAATTGTTCTTCTCACTCTGGCGTGCGCAGCAATTCCTAACAAGGCACAATCATTCTCATACGTAGACACATCCTATACATGCATGTACGCTCATGCATGTGTGTGTGTTCACGTGGCCAGGGATTTTACAAATGTTGGTGTTTTGATTAATTTATTACATTTATCTTTTATATCTATTATATATACTTCTTTTTTTTTTTTTTTTTTTTTTACACTTAATATCATTGATATCACATTAGAGCCCTCTATGTAATAGCATATTCCTGATGACAGGTCCTCTTTAAAGTGACCCCTAATGTCACTTATGGTCATTAATAAAGCTGATCCAAGCACAGATTGTGCTTGATAAGCTTCTTCCCTGGCCACAGTGGCCAGGGAATAACTGCTCAGAAACTGAAAGTGACAGAATCTTCTTTGCTTCCAGGTTCATTTACCAGAGGGGAGATCACTAAAGCCTGTGGGGGTAGAAGTGATGGGGCATCTTTATAGAGGCTCGAATCACTTGCTATAGCAGCCAGAAAATCTGTTTGTAACTCCCTGCTGCCACAGACATAATACTTACACCCGTGGCAGCAAAAGGGTTGAGAGTTCACTGATTCATCATACCTGTTGCCTGTAAGTGCTATTTAAATAAAATCTTTCTACAGATGCATATGGTGTTAACATTTATTAAACTATATGTGTTTTTTTTTTTCTCACAGGCAGCTGCTGAAAGATCCCCAGGTTCTGTTTGCAGGGTACAAGGTGCCTCATCCCCTGGAGCATAAAATTGTTATTCGAGTTCAGACCACACCTGAATATAGCCCTCAAGAGGCTTTTACTAATGCTATCACAGACTTGATAAGTGAATTGTCTCTTTTGGAGGAACGATTTAGGGTAGGTGCATTCTTTTACAGTAACAACAAAAAAGAAAATATTGTGCACTTAACATTTAAAGGAGAACTATGAGGTGAGTGATTTTTCACTCATCCTCATAGTTCGAGCCGACGTGTGACAATGAAACTGTCACACGCCAGCTCTATAGATCGGGAAGTGAGCGAACACATACTTTCGCTCGCTCACTTCTCGAGCCTGTCCCTGCAAAGAGCCGTGACGGTCAGTCACGTCTATCTGCAGGGATTCCCCCCCTCCCCGCTCCGATCCTCCTGGCGCTGACTGGCGGAACGGGAGGAGGCGGGTACACCTGGGTCTGCCTCTAGATTGGCAGAGCCAGTTGTCATCACACAGCTGGGTGGATCTCAGTATACCGCGAGCTTTGGGTCACGGGAGGACGCTAGTTTGTGTCATCCCGCGGTCCTTAGGAGAATTATGGAGAAAAACACTTATCCCATAGTACTCCTTTTTAAGGTCAGTGATATAGTGTATTTTATTAACAGCACTACTAAAATAGACTATATCACTATAACTATGATCCGATCTTCTTTACTGTAGTTTTCAGCTGTCCCCCCAGCGCTGGTGCCGGTCTCTGATCCAGCGCTGAATCCTGTTTCTTCCTTTCCCACGGAGTCTGTGCGGGTGCATGCTGCTGCATTGACTTACCTTGTGGCTCTTCTCCCGGCCGAAGACCTGTACTGCGCATGTGGCCGCCCGAGAATCTTTAGAACTTCAGACAGGAGGGCGTGGGGAAGACACAAGTTTTAACCTTGTTTTAAACTTTTTTTTTTTTTTTTTTACGTTTTTGCCCATATCTACTTTTTGCTAGTAGTAGATGTATGCAAAAACATGCGGGCTTTAATTATTCTTTTAATGATTACAAATTTAAAGAAAAATATAATATTTACCCTTGCAGTGGGGCTACCCCCACACTGCAACAGTTAACAGGATTATGGTCATTTTAAATCCTTTTTTTATTACATCCAATGAGCCATTTTACACTTTAAAAAAATGAAGGATATGGACTGAGCTCGGGGAGAGAGATGTTCAGGAACATTGTAAATTAAATCTTGCATTTCAGCTTTAAAGACAACATTTGTGAATAGGGCCTTACGGATCCTTAACACAGATAATCAATGTAAACATGTGCTTTTGTGTCACCTCTAGTTCCTAAATAATATAGTGCTAATTGGGATATTTTATATGTGTGATTTCTATTTAACCTTCTTTTCTAGGTTGCCATTAAAGACAAACAAGAAGGAATTGAATGAGGTTAGACAGAATGCTGCATTGGCTTGAAGTCCTCTGCTGTGATTTAAACATGGAATTTATCAGAATGGCATATTTGTTATCTGTTAATTAATTGTTAATTCTTTATTTACAATGTTTTTGGTTTTTTTTATGTTTAAAAAAAATATGACCCGTGTTTTGTTACATCTTTCTTTGTAATGTTTTGATACTGTGAGAAATGCCTTGTCTTGTGTAATAAAACCTACACAGTGTGGCACTTAGAGGCAGATCATTTAACCAAATAGTTTATCTGTTTTTTTGTGCCATTCTGAGGATCAGGAACCCCTGCATTTGCATATTTTGTTCCTGTTATGTGTGGATTAGTTAGTCATACTGATTTCAAATTTTTAAAATAAAGTTTTATTATAATTATTTAATGAGCAGACTTAAAAGTAAGTTAAATGGAACAATTTGGCGAATTGTTCTCTGTGAGGCCCTGTTCACACCATGACGCGGGTGTGAGGAGTGGTGGGCTGGATTCCACCAGAGCGCACTGTATTGCTGTGTGGTGACCTGAATGGGGTGAGCACATTGTACACTACTGATAAAGTTAAAAAGAAACAAAATGTGGTGACAGCTCCTGCAGTGTGCTGCCACAACGCATTAGCATGCCTGCTTAAGCAGACTGACTAGTGTTAAAGGAGAACTATGAGGTGAGTGAAAATCACTCAACCTCATAGTTCGAGCCGACGTGTGACAATGAAACTGTCACACGGCAGCTCAATAGATCGGGAAGTGAGAGAACACATACCGTCGCTCGCTCACCTCTCGATCCTGTGCCTGCAGAGAGCCGTGATTGTCACTCACGGCTCCCTGCAGGGATTATTCCCACCCTCCACGCTCCAATCCTCCAGTGCTGACTGGCGGAACGGACTGGGGAGTGGGCGGGTGCAACCTATATATGAAGTTTCTAAAACAAATGTACCTGGCCTACACTGCAATCCATGCAATGGAAAACCCATGAGCTGTGATTTAGTGCATTAAAAGTAGGTACGCATGTTAACAGCCTATGGAAATGAAATGGGCCCATAGATCCTGCATCTGAATGAATGGATGGCATACAGATCAGCCATATTTTGCATTTTCCAGTCTTTTCTCTTATTGGAGGGGTCTTATATCTATACAGTGTATATACCTTTACATAGACACATCACTTCATTGGTTTCAGCTAGGGATGCACCGATACCGGTATTTTGGTACTGAGTACGAGTACCGATAATTTTTTTCTGGTACTCGCCGATATCAATTACCGAGAAACGGAAGTCCCATTCAGGAAGCCAGGTGGCATGTAATGACTCGCCACCTGGCTTCCTGATTAGCCGGCAGCGTGTAAAGACTCGCCACCCGCCTTCCTGACTAACAAAGTCTGTCCCCTCTTACCTTGGTATGTCCAGCCTGTCAACCCCGGGGCCTCTCGAGCCAGAATGCGGCCTTCCTCCGGTACCCAGCCAGAGCCGTCCGGCTCACAAGTGACGAGAGAGCATGGAGCCACTTCCCGTAATGACCCGCTGCCCGGCTTCCTGATACAGGAAGTATCGGGCTAGGCATTGGAGCATTTGGGCGAGTACGAGTACTTGCCCAAATACTCTGTATTGGCACCGATATCGATACTAGTATCGGTGCATCCCTATTTTCAGCACTCCCGATTGGACAAAAAAATAGGATCCTCTACAAGCATAATGGAACAAAACTGTTTCTCATCGCCCCAAATAAGAATATGAAAAATAAAGGTTTAAAGAAGTAGAATTGCCAGAAGCAAAAACAAACAGCCTGTTTAATGCCCTAGTGGACCTAGTTCACATTGCACACCTGCCCCTTATTTCCCATCTTAGCAGTGGTTAGGGGATAGAATTACAAAAAAAAAAAATAAGAGCTGTCTTATCTCCTCTGAAATAGCAGGAGGGTTTGGACTCGGGAAAGAGAATGCTTTATGTACATATAAGGGAGTAGAGGAGGGTGAGTCAACTTTCCCAAGTATTTGGGCCATTTAGATTTGCGGTTTTCTTTTTAAATTACTTGGGTGATAAGCAGGTTATTTTGCATATTTTTAAATAATCGGCATTCATTAAAATACTGGCTGGTGATCCCGCCATAAGGGTCATTATTCAGGCATTTCCTTAAAGGGTAAGAAAGCTCTTTGCTTGTCTCCCAAAAGTGCTTCTGTGTTGTCACCCGGTCACACAGCCTTCTGATGGAGACTACAAGCAGTGGCAGACCTAGGGAACAAAGGGCCCTGGTGCAAGATTTTTTGGGGGCCCCCCCGCACCTCACCCACAAACCCCCCAACCCATATCCCCTGTAGCAACCACACAAAAAAAGTTGGAAAAATGGCATTGCTGTATAAAGTACTGCTGAGATTTGTAGTCCTCTACAGAGGGTGCCATTCTGCATTGCTGCAATGCAGAATGGGACTTGGTATATAGCACTACAAATACCAACTGTACTTTATACAGCAATGCCATCAGTTGGGCTACAAAAAATAATTATTTTATTTAATATCTTACCTTCACCTCCTCTGGCTATTTCCTGGTGGGGGAGGCTGCAGAAAAACACCCCAGTGTGTGTCTCAGACAGCGCGCCCGTGTGTGAAGGCGGCTACTTGCTGGGTCCTCACGGACGAGGCCCAGGGCTGCCCCCTGAAGTGCCTGCAAGCTTTTTTTTAATTCTCAGCTCCCTCCACAGTATCCGGCGCAGAGATGAGGGGGCCCGCCAGCCGCCGGATACCGGTGTGATCAATGGACACTCCCAGCGCAGAGATGGGGGGCCCGCCGCATACCGATCCGATGGTAACCGGCGGCCGGACACCGACGGGCCCCCCCATCTCAGCCCCGGGGCTGTGTTTGAATGGATACTGGGCCCCCCTGTAGTCTCAGGCCCCGGTGGGTCCGCATCGGCAGTAGGTCCGCCACTGACTACAAGTGACCATTTCAGCACACATGGTTCACTATCGTCACCATCAGGACAATCACCTGGAGAAATGTTAGGCAGCCATTGTTGAAGTGCAGGCATGTATACGAAGAAGTGGCCAGGAGGAGGACAGCAGCAAGGAGATGCAACCAATGATGACCAAAAAAAGTGAAAAGAAACATTTTACTTAAAGTGGAATGAAAGTCTTGCTGTGAGAAATTGCAAAGAGCTAGAGAAAAGACATGCAAAGTCTCTTTTTGCAGAAAAAATGCTTTGATCTCTACTCCTTTCCTATGCACACTGCAGAGTACATGCCCAGAATAGAGCCAGTGCCGGGGACAATGCTACCTGAATCCAGATCAGACAAATATATACAGGTGAAACTCGAATAATTAGAATATCGTGCAACAGTAATTGCAGTAAGTGATGCAAAAGGGGGCCCAAACCAAGTACTGAGTACATATGCATGCTTGTACTTTTCAGAGGTCCGATATTGTTCTATGTACAATCCTTGTTTTATTGATTGCATGTAATAATCTACTTTTTTGAGGTTGTGGATTTGGGGTTCTTGGGGTTTCCATGAGCTGTAAGCCATAATCATCACAATTATGACAAATCACGGCTTGAACTATCTTGCTTTGCATGTAATGAGTCTATCTCATATATTAGTTTCACCTTTTAAGTTGCATTAGTGAAATAAATGAACTTTGCATGATATTCTAATTATTCGAGTTTCACCTGTATCTCCCAGCAATTAGTATTATTTATTTTTTTACAGTTCTGCCCAAACACTTATAGGACCCTGCAAGGGCCATCCTAACCAAAATATCAGGAACAATGCTTAGAGGACCAGCTGATTTTTTAGTAAACTAAAGCTGTAAACATCAAGGAGCAGCATCCATTGTAAGAGATATAATCAGCATTTGGAATACAGTTTTCTTTGACTCTTGGCGCTAATGGCTGCCAGCTGAACGATCCACTTGCTGTTGCATAGTCAAGGTTTTCAACAGTTTATCACAATTTTTCACACAGACTTGAGGGGCTGCTCATCCAAGGCTCTGGGGCTTCCCCCTGAAACGCGTCAATCTTGGCTGACTGTGGCCGGTGATGTGACCGGAGGCAACCGTGTTACACAGTTGGGGTGATACCATGTTGGGTTAACAGACAGTGTGGCCTCTTGGTTTCGCTCTGTTCCCTTTTGTTTTCAGCATTTGGAATAGCTTAAAAACCTTTTGACTTTATTTTCACTTTAGACATTTTTTTTTAAATGGGCCAGCCTGTAAAAGTGAATGCTTACCTTTCCAACTGTCAGTGCTGCTGATCTTTACTGAATTACAGAGCTACCTCCGCCTGAAGAGGTGGCCTGTGTGGACTCTCAGATGGCTGTGCAGGTTCTATGGTGGGCTGCGAGGACTCTCAGGCTGCTGTGCAGGTTCTATGGTGGGCGGTGCGGACTCTCATGTGGCTGTGCAGGTTCTATGGTGGGCTGTATGGACTCTCAGGTGGCAGTGCATGTTCTTTAGTGGGGTGTGTGGACTCTCAGGTGGCTGTGCAGGTTCTATGGTGGGCTGTATGGACTCTCAGGTGGCAGTGCATGTTCTTTAGTGGGGTGTGTGGACTCTCAGGTGGCTGTGCAGGTTCTATGGTGGGCTGTATGGACTCTCAGGTGGCAGTGCATGTTCTTTAGTGGGGTGTGTGGACTCTCAGGTGGCTGTGCAGGTTCTATGGTGGGCTGTATGGACTCTCAGGTGGCAGTGCATGTTCTTTAGTGGGGTGTGTGGACTCTCAGGTGGCTGTGCAGGTTCTATGGTGGGCTGTATGGACTCTCAGGTGGCAGTGCATGTTCTTTAGTGGGGTGTGTGGACTCTCAGGTGGCTGTGCAGGTTCTATGGTGGGCTGTATGGACTCTCAGGTGGCAGTGCATGTTCTTTAGTGGGGTGTGTGGACTCTCAGGTGGCTGTGCAGGTTCTATGGTGGGCTGTATGGACTCTCAGGTGGCAGTGCATGTTCTTTAGTGGGGTGTGTGGACTCTCAGGTGGCTGTGCAGGTTCTATGGTGGGCTGTATGGACTCTCAGGTGGCAGTGCATGTTCTTTAGTGGGGTGTGTGGACTCTCAGGTGGCTGTGCAGGTTCTATGGTGGGCTGTATGGACTCTCAGGTGGCAGTGCATGTTCTTTAGTGGGGTGTGTGGACTCTCAGGTGGCTGTGCAGGTTCTATGGTGGGGTGGGCTCTCAGGCGGCTGTGCAGGTTCTATGGTGGGGTGTGCGGACTCTCAGGTGGGCTGTGCAGGTTCTATGGTGGGCTGTGCAGACTCTCACGTGGCTGTGCAGGTTCTATGGTGGGGTGGGCTCTCAGGCGGCTGTGCAGGTTCTATGGTGGGGTGTGCGGACTCTCAGGTGGCTGTGCAGGTTCTATGGTGGGCTGTATGGACTCTCAGGTGGCAGTGCATGTTCTTTAGTGGGGTGTGTGGACTCTCAGGTGGCTGTGCAGGTTCTATAGTGGGCTGTATGGACTCTCAGGTGGCTGTGCAGGTTCTTTGGTGGGGTGTGCAGGTTCTATGGTGGGCTGTGCAGACTCTCACGTGGCTGTGCAGGTTCTATGGTGGGCTGTGCAGGTTCTATAGTGGGCTGTGCAGGTTCTATAGTGGGCTGTATGGACTCTCAGGTGGCTGTGCAGGTTCTATGGTGGGCTGTGGAGACTTTCAGGTAGGCTATGCAGGGAAGGGCATTTTTATCCCCTGAGGTGATATGCATGGTCACAAGTCCTAGTCACATGTGCCAGTGTTCCAGGAAGTAAAGGGAGATCTAAGGCGCTTTCAGTACCTTAACCATGCGCTGAGTAGCAGCTGTTTGCTGCAGCAGATTCACTGAACGCTTCAGATGCATATTTCTAAGCAAATTGGGGAGGATTCAGTGTTAACCTCTGTCATTAGTGCAATTTCTACTGTTTTTGCTTCTACTGTTTTCTTTCTACTGTTACAGTTTTTCATACACACTCATCCACCAAAACATTAAATTGTAGTTTTCCACACTGAATTGTGATTTGCTTCATTGGGGCTCAGGCACCCTTCTTCATTGCTGCCAGGTGTGCCCACAGTTACAATGGCCGCTGGCACTCCGTCCCCACCTTCTTGTACTATGCACGTGACATTCAGCGCTCTGCAGCCACATTCACTTCCGCTGCAGCACAGCGTGACTTGCAGCACAGCGTTCAATGGCAGTTTTCTAACTCGGCACTCGCAGCGGCTGAGCAACTAAACACATCTCTAGTAACCTGCCCTTAGTCAAAATGGCCGCTGTGAGAAGAATGGGGACGAAAAGAAAAAGAAGGTATGTAAAGAATAAAGAGCCAGCAACTATCAAAAGTATCTTATTGTAGTTTGTCATTAATAAACATTTCTAAAGGTGCCTTTGTTGTTTTTTCAAGCATATGGGTAAAGTGCATCTTTAACTACAAATCCCAACATGCCTTTGGGAGTCATACTGTAACTGTCAGTCTTGCAATGCCTCATGGGACTTGTAGTTCCGCAACAGCTGGAAGGCCAGATTTGCCCACCCCTGCCTTAAAAGGTCAGCAACAACTGGATAATGTAAGCCAGTCATGAGAAAATTCAGGGGGCTACCTCTACTGCCCTCTGAATTTCATAGATTGGATCCACCACAAACAGGTATACACATCAGGTAGCCACTGGCAGAACTACCAGGGTCACAGCGGTTGCATTTGCGACCGGGCCCTGGCGTTCTGCCACTTAAGGGGGGCCCAGTCAAAAGGGGTGCCGGGCAGGGATTTTTTCTGTACACTTAGCCCTGCTTCATGCAAGCAAGGCTAAATGTAAAGCAGAGGAGCCGTTTTGTACGAGAGATTTCAGCGGCTATCACTTGTATGCAGCCTGCTTGTGACTTGTCTGGCCCCCCTCCATTGTTCGCCCAGTCCCCCCCCCCCCCCCCGCCTTCTTCTGTGCCATGATTTTTGGGGTCCCCTTCACTTCTTGGGGACCTCAGCCCACAGCAAGGCAGTTCAGGATGGAGAGCGAGGAGCAGAGCAGAACTTGCAGTGCTCCTTTGTCAGCTGTCACAGCCTGAGCTGTACAGAAGATAGAGCACATGTGTGCTCTACCTTCTGTATTGGAGGGCAGGCTCATAAAGAGAGCCTGTCAACTCCAAATGCTATCACACAGGGGATTGTTAGCCCCTGCACGATAGCAATAAAGTTAAGTAAAAAATAAAAATAGAATTTTTTTTTAAATTGATAAAATGTAAAAAATAAAAACATAGTAATAAAAATGGAAAAAGAAAATTAAAAATTGCTAAAAAGTAAAAAATTTTTAATAAAAATGTGATAAAAACTAAAAAAAAAAAAAATATTATTAATAATAATAAATCCACACAGCCCAACCTGTATGGGGTCCCATGATTTCATCTGGTGGAATACAATGCAATACACATGCAATACCCTGGTAACTGCCAAGGCTCTGACATTTTTTTGTGGTGGGCCCTTCATGGTTTCTTGCACTGGGGCCCTGAGGTTTCTAGTTACGCCTCTGCAAGTAGCTCAAAGAAAATGCGAAGTCCTCATCTGCATACTTGTTGTTGTGAGCCAGTAAGCACAGATGCCAGAAGGTCAGACTGACATTACATATGGATGTGAGCTCAACTGTAAACATCCCAGCTCTCCCAGTCACGTGTCTCACCTGGCCGCACAGCCGGGGGAGGGGCCGGATGTGCCTGAATCCCCGAGTCATCTGAGAGAGGGGTTGGGCTTTGGTGGTCTTTAGACGGTCATATGACCTATACAGCTACTGCTATTGGTTGGCATATCTAGTGTTGACGTAACGCAGCAAGACGAGGAAGTTTTGATGGTTCGGACGGGAAGATAAACACAACCATCGTCATCTTCGCTGAGCAGTACTGGTAGAGGTGGTGGGGCCTCGGGCCGTGCAGCCGACATGCTACGAGGTCTGGGCAGCTGGCTGGGCCTGGACCCCGAGCCGGACATGCAGTCAGCTGAGGAGAAGGACGCACAGAGTCCAGCCGAGGAGGCAGTGGTGACTGAGCAGCGGGGGGAAGACAAGAAGGTCTATGAGGCTGAGCAGGAGAAGGAGAAGGCACCTGAGGAGGTGGAGGAGGGAGAGTCACCCGAGGATGTACTTCTTAAGCAAGCCAAAGGCTTCGGCAGTGAGTGTTCCCGATGTAATGGCCCAAACCAGCCGACTCGGCTGCTGTCTTCTAGTCTTTGCTGGACAACACAGCACTGCCATTTAACAGGCCTTTCAATGCATGCACACAGCTCGGTTCACAGTAAAGCTACTGCCAAAGTTATGTTCGTTTTAGATAGAGCAGGAAAGGGTTGCAGCCCTATACACCTCCTGACAATTTGTTTTCTTACCATCTGTGTCCCATTGGGAAGATTTCCCTTCACTTCCTGCTCTGTAAATACAACAGGAAGTGAGTGAAAATCTCTCCAGAATCATTTCTTAGTGACACTATATGTGTTGCAATCTCACCATACGATCTTTTGTACAGTTGACTTTAGATTTACCAAAACTGTGTAAAATGAGGACGTATCTAAAGTCTCCACTCAGGCATGCCAGTGTGTCACATAGTTGTTGGGGGATCTAAAGGAGATTGTACAGTCAGATTATAATGTGTGTGTGGGAGCTTTTGACATGTGTCCACCTTGGAATAGGTCCCCACTATTTCTATTCTGGTGACAGCGTATGTGCTTTTTCTCTTGTTGGTCACCAGTCAAAATAGAAAGGGTGAATTTCTCAAGCGGGGACACATGCAGTAAAAACCTGCCGGAGGTTCTAATCCCTCTCCCCTCTATACAAAACCTAAAAAAAGGTTGGCTTTAGCTGCACTTGAAAGTGCAATTTAAAGGGTTATTAAACCCTTGCGTGGTTTTGCATATATCTACTGCTAGCAAGCAGGGAGACGAGGAGAGACACAGGGTAAGTGTATGGAGCAGACACCGTGGGATGTCAGAGAAGAGGAGGACAGAAGAGTCAGCGCTGGATCGGAGACCCGCACCAGTGCTGGAGGGACAGCTGAAAAGGACAGTAAATAAGAAGATCAGATTAAGAGGCATCATTTAAGGTCAGTCCCTACAGCAGGATTGGGAAGGGGGGAAAAAAACTTGGACTTTAATGTCACTTTAAGCCAGCTGGCAGGTGGGCCATAATGTGCAATATGCCATGCATGTCCTGCTACTTCTTCTGTGTCCCTTGTTACTTCTTTTCAGCTATGGGGAGCCCACTTATGTCATTCTTGCACATGTGCACAGGAGTTACCTCATCTCTGGCATCTGACATTATGCTGGAAATGAGCAGTGAGTGTATATTGTACTGTGACTATGCTACAAACAGTGACCACAGAATGAAAAATTGCTAGCAGCACAGGGAGGGTTTTTTTTGGGTACAGGAGACATTGCATGCCTCTTCTGCCCAAAAACCGCTGCCTCCTTGACATTTTTTTTTTGTAGACCAATTCCACTTTAAGACAAAGGGCACTTCTCCTTTTTACTCATGACCCAACCTAACCCACCCTCCCCCTCCACAAATGGCCACTTACTTTGATCTGATTGCCGCAGCCTCCAGTGTTTGTTTACATCCAGCATTGCTGGGACCGTCTCCCTTTGTCTCTGGCCTTAGGACACAGCCCATAGATGTCTACAGGGCTGTAGGAGAGTGAGATTTGCAGCACCAGATGTAAACAAGCGCTGGTGGCCGCAGTCATCAAATTGAGGTAAGTATGAATCTGTGGAAGAGCTTCCTCATCCTTTTAAGATAGGTTAGTTCCTATCGCTAAAAAAAAAAAACCTTCTTAAAATAATGGTTTTGCACAGGAGCTGTCATCCTATTGGTCCTTCTATTTCTGCAGCAGGGTTACTAAATTACCAGTGCAGCGTTAGATATAGTTGCTGCTGGCATCCGGGCTCTCAGCTTTGTTCTCACAAGTTCCCAGTGACTCCCATGTTTGTGTACACAGTGCTGGATCCTGGCAGTCACATTTGTGGGAGGGCAAGTTATGAAGAATAATAGCTACAGCATCAAAACTGATGATTTTCTTTATAGCCCAATGCCAAATAAATACTTAATTAGATTCGATAAACTGTTTCCTTTCCAAAACATCAGGGGACACTATATGATCATCAAGCGGGTGCCTCACTTTGAAGCCCATGTGTCCACAGGCACAGAGATGTGGATATCTGCTTGTAGCTAACAAGACTGGGGGTACCTAATGTAGCTTATTTCTCTCCATGTGTACATAGCGTGCTGGCTGTCCATTTTCAGGCATTGCTAGAACATTACTTTTCATTGTCACAGTTCTCCCCTTATACTAATTGTTGTTTTAGATGGCACTTTCTGCAGTGTGGCTTTACCTCGGGGGGTACTTGTGTGCCTTTCGTTTTTATAATAGGTAGAAGAGCAAGAAAGTGCTTAGAAATTGACATGATGTTTGTAATTTTACATGTATTTAGGTACTACTCTGCTTATATTTGTAACTTTTACAATGTTCTTTTTAGGTTATCTCCTGAATTTTGCTTCAGTTGCTTCAAAAAAGATATCTGAATCAGTTGCTGAAACTGCCCACACCATTAAGAAGTCAGTAGAGGAAGGAAAAATTGATGGCATCATTGAGAAGGTGTGTTCACATTATAAAATGTGTATATATATATATATATATATATACGCATACACGCACGCACACTCCACTATCATAGCTGTCCATAGACATGAGGTGACATTCAAATTCCTGAACTATTTGTGCTTAATTGAACTGTCTAGAGTGGCCCCAGGTCCATGGGATACTTCCAGCTACCTGTTCCAGCCTCTCCTCTCACTCAGGGGGGATGACCAGCCAGGGGGTGACCACCAAAGCAATGGTCTAAATTGGTATACTAGTATGCCCCTGTCTTTGTGGTTCTCAGTGCATCTGATAATCCAAGGAGCAAAGCAGGCTTCTGTGAACCCGAGTCCAGTTTAGACAGTAATGTGAGATAAAAGGTTCATATTTAGAATGCACGCTTATATTGCACCACCATGCATATGTATGCACTGAACCTCTGATGTTGCCCTTATCCCATGAACAATATTGATTTGTGGGGAAACAAATCTAACTCAGCAAGTCATCTTTCCCCAAGTCTAGCCAGGTGTTAGAGGAGAGTCAGCTCACATTTGCTAGCCAACGTTTCGGATCAGGGTGCCTGATGAAGGTACCCTGCGGGGTTCCGCAATGTTGGCTATATTACACATGTGATGTTGTTCTACAATACAAAGAACCTTTTGGATTGATTCCATCTTGCGAGTGCTGGTGATCTTCATTGCTATCATCTCTGGATCTGCACGGTGCCATCCGTGGACATCACTGCGAGCATCAAGTCCTGATAGCTGTATGGTGTGCAGGGGACACCTGTTTACTTTTCATGTCACCTGGAACATGCATCCCCTGTGTTGTATGTAACAAACATAGTTTTCATTTTTAGGTGGACATAAGATTGTTGAAAATATGAAATGATTTCCTTTTCACTTTTCAGACTATTATTGGGGATTTTCAGAAGGAACAGGATAAGTTTGTACATGAAAAGAATGTAAAAAAGACAGGTACGTTATGTGGATTGTTCTCTACTACCTTCCATGTATGCAGCCAAGAATTGTCCGAAATGTTATGTTCATTTAATAACATAGAATCCTATTAACCTGTAGATGTACATTATTGGGATAGGAAGTGATCTTCTAAGTGGATTCATCATTTGGGTTTATTTTAAGTAGAAAATCAGATGGAAATTGAGATTGAACAATCACATTACAACGTGTATGGAGATGTGAATGTGTTTATGGAGTTTGATTTAAGCTAAAGTTTAATCTGCTTAAATTTCCTAACCGCAATTCAATAATTTTGTTCATTACATGCTTTTTTTGTTGGATCAAGTGACATCATTACTAGGTCTCGTTGCTTCTCAATGTAATGCAGGCAGATCATAGCTGGCGGGAGAGGCAAATAGGGTGCTGTACAAAGATCCTGAAAATATTACAGCACCCCCCGCCTCAGTACTACTCTCAAGAGCCCTCACCCATGGCAGTCCCATCATTCAGCGCTTTCCTAGATACAAATGTTCAGCTTGCTCAAACACTTCTGTTAATGTAGAGTGGATGCGGAAGGAGATGAATGATGCTTGCTCCTCTTGTCATGGCGGGAACAATTGCATTTGTAATCGGTCTGTTAGATTACTTTTTCCTCCTGAGAACATTCATCTGGAGGTTATGCTAGGGAGTCAGCCTGAAAACAGCTGCTGTCTTATGTTTATGGGTAACTGTACTGCCTGACTTTCTTTTTTGCACGTTATCGGATACTCCTGAGTCTATCATTGTCTTAGTACTGGAAGCATGACCAATGTAATTATTTTGTCTTTTTAGACGCAGCAGTTCCTCCTTGGGTTGGATATAGCGAGGAGGAAACCATTCAGCAGCAGATCCTGGCCCTGTCCGCAGTAAGACCTTTTTTCATCCATCTGGGTAGTGTTTTAGAAGCTCATACTTGGAGTCATTTACTAGCTCCTGACCAGCAATTCCTTCATCTAGTATCTTTTAGTTCAGTCTATTTTAGAAACACCTTTTCACTGTGGGCTGAATGCGGGTCCACCAGTCGGGGACACTATGCTGAATGCGGGTCCACCAGTCGGGGACACTATGCTGAATGCGGGTCCACCAGTCGGGGACACTATGCTGAATGCGGGTCCACCAGTCGGGGACACTATGCTGAATGCGGGTCCACCAGTCGGGGACACTATGCTGAATGCGGGTCCACCAGTCGGGGACACTATGCTGAATGCGGGTCCACCAGTCGGGGACACTATGCTGAATGCGGGTCCACCAGTCGGGGACACTATGCTGAATGCGGGTCCACCAGTCGGGGACACTAGACACTATACTGAATGCGGGTCCAGCAGTCGGGGACACTATACTGAATGCGGGTCCAGCAGTCGGGGACACTATACTGAATGCGGGTCCAGCAGTCGGGGACACTATACTGAATGCGGGTCCACCAGTCGGGGACACTGTCCCTGCATATTGAACTTGCATTCAATATACAGTACTGAATTCTGGAATTACTTGTATATTAGGAGTGGTCGATGCATTTGTAACACACAACAAATATCTCTGGGGCATCTGTATAAACTGCTCCGATTTTCTATTGGTAGGAATGCCTGTTCATCCACTTTCCTCATAAAATGAACGTGGAAGAGTCTTGTGGAAATAGATTAGGGCTTTTCAGCAGCACATGTTGGCAACACTCAAAAGTTGCATTGCATAGTGTATGTTCACTAGTGCAGCCTGTTCTAGAGAAATGTGTCCAGCTAGACAAAGCCGAAGCGTTGTGCTACATTTACGGCTGAAAAGCGTTCCGCCTGTGACTAGCAGCACATTACTGCCACCACATGGAGCCAGGGAGCATAGGAAACTGCTGTGCGTCTTGGCTTCATCTTGCAGCAGTACAGTGCTGCCAACATGATTTGCCCAGCTATACACTGAGCGAATGCATTGTGAATGAACCCTTCAATTTACATGAGAGGATAGTAGCCTCTCATGCATGAAGTCTATGTCAGCGCTGTGCTCGAAATGCACAAGATGAGGAATACCCAGGCAGCAGTTCTATTTATCTTGACTGTATTTTATAATTTTCCTTAATTTACTCACAGTGCAATGTTTGTGTTTTAATATATCAGGATCGAAGAAACTTCCTCAGAGACCCCCCTGCCGGTGTCCACTTTACTTTTGACTTTGAGCAGATGTACCCTGTCGCCCTTGTAATGCTTCAGGAAGATGAGCTGCTTAACCGCATGAGATTTGACCTTGTGCCAAAACTGTGAGTGACCTGAATTTGTTGTCATTTCTCCTTTATAACAAGAACCAAATCAGTTTTCTGTTGCACTTTGGGGTCTATGTATAAAAAGATTGCTGTGGGAATGTATCAGTCTTTGTACAAACGTTGCGCATCATGAGCAAAATGATGCTGCTTTATCAACCAATAGGGTATAGCTCGCCTAATATGTGCAAATAAATAAAAAGTCTCAATGCGCCAGTTTATGAAACAACATAGAAAGGTTTGAAGCAGAGGGCCCGTCTTTGTCATGTTTTGTGCACATGTGCCGTTTTTTTTTAACCGAGCACTCGTCCTGTTATGCTTTGGTAGACTCAATGGTCAGGGTGTCCCAGTAGGGGCAAATTGGCCTGGAACTGTTTTGGACAGGTTTGGGGGAAACCACATATAGACCCTAAACTGCATTTAACTAAGTTGGATAATGCTTTTTACATTACTGTGGACCCTTGACTGCACAGCAACCTTTTTTTTTTTTTTCCTGTGAAGTTCACCAGCAACGTTACAATCTGATGGTACAATTTAGATCTACCAACAAGTATGTAGTGCAAGAGCCTTCCTGATTTTGATATACATTGACTGCAAAGTTTAGGTAGGGCCTCATATTACATGGTTTTAGTAGATATTAAGTTGACTGTATGGTCAGATTGTAGCATGTATGATGAGCCTTAGCCTTTAAATAAGTAGAGGCCAGCAGTAGATTTAATGGTGAGTTAACTGATTCTGTAATAACCCTTTTCACTTCCTTTACATCCTATATGGGATAAAGCTGGCCATACACCTATAGATTATCTGCAGATTTTCTATGGTCAGATGGAAAAAAGGTTTTTTTTTCTGACCTCGGGCCGCAGGCCGTCATCAGTCAGAAAAAAAAATAAACCCATAGGAACACATAGCTAGATTCCTATTGGCTATTTCACTTTGCAATAGCAAACTAGCTATTGCGCCCGCCCTCTGTTGCTGCCAATCAGCAGAGGGGGACCTAAATTCTCCATCAGGTCCAGTTCTAATGATTGACAGCAGCAATGGGCGGGTGCAATAGCTAGTTTGCTATTGGCTATTGCAAAGTGAAATGGCTATTGGTTATTGCAAAGAGGAATCTAGCTATGCATTCCTATGGTGGCTTTTTTTTTTTTATTTATTCTGACGGCGTACATATGTGCTCAGGTAAGCCTGCGCCCCCCCCCCACATGGTGCTGCATTAATGTATTGCTGGGGTAGTGGGATTTGTAGTCCTCTCTAGCTGCTGGTACATTGGGGTGTACCACCA